AGTGGTTGAGTGTCGACCTATGAACCAGGAGGTCATGGTTCAATTCCTGGTCAGGGCACATGCCTGGGTTGTGGGCTTGGTCCCCAGTGTGGGGTGTGCAGGAGGCAGTCAATCAATTATTCTATCTCATCATTGATGTTCCTACCTCTCTCTCTCCCTTCCTCTCTGAAATCAATAAAAAAAATTAATTCTTCTTTAAAAAAACTGTACAGGTTTTTTTAATTATATTTCAATTGGTTACTACAGTGTTGGTGAATAATGATTATTGTAGGTTTATCTTGTACCAACCAGGATAATCCCTTTGCTAAGAACCTTCCTGCCCTCTTTATGAGGGCAAGAAGTATTTCCAAGACATTTTAGCCAGTTGTGAACACCAATCATATCATTGGTGCAAGCCCATTTCTAATCAGCAAAGCCGCTAGTGTTGATCAGAGATAAAGATAGGTCCGTATTTTTTAGTAGGTTCCTCAGAGCCTTCTCTTTTAATGCATTATCTGCTGACCACCCCTGGAGTAACTGACCTTTGGGGTTTAGTTGTAAAACAACTCAAACAGGCAGGAGGGGGCACCAAGGCCTCACTTTCACACAAGGAGGGCTACTGTACGGTGGCCACCAGGGGGCACTGTCCTTGGATAAGCACTATTGCCTGCCAGGTGCTGTTGCAGACATCAGGAATAGAGCCATGCTCAAGAGGGCAAGCCAGGAGCTAATATTCTAAAGGTGGGGGAGTCTAGACAGACGATAAAATGATAGATAATTTCAGGGTCTCATAAATTCTATGGAGAAAACAAACCAGGGTAACAGGATAATGACTGAGCATGACTCCTTATGGAAGGGGCATAAAGACACCTCTCTGACTACATCTAAATGAGAAGGAACTCTGGAAGCAGAGTGCTGTGTGCAGAGGAAAGGTGTCTGCGGATCCTGGAGGGGAAGAGCCTGATGGATGGAGTGGCCAGTGCAGGCAAAGGACAGAGTGGACAGGGAGGAAGGCAGAATGGTGATGGGGCGGAGCACGGAGGGGAGGACTTTGGCTTCTGCTCTGGGGCCAAGGGAAGCCTGGGGAGGACTGTGATAGGAAAGATCTTCAAGATAGGCTGTTCCAGGGACAAGCAAGGTTAGGACAGTGTTCACAATGTCTGTCTGTGTATAGAGGGGAAACAATATAAGTTCACATTGGTTTGTATTTGCATGAGGATATACTGGGACAATAGCAAGAAAATTATTAAAACAGTGACCTTTGGAGGAAAGAGAAGAGGGAAAAGGATGGATGGAGACTAATGTACTAGTGAGAAAAAGCGTCCTCTGGCTGCTGAGTGGGAAGCAGACCACAGGCCCTCAGACAGCGCCCGGTGAAGGAGGTCAGGGGGCAGGCCAGGTTTTTCCATGTCCCAGGGGTGTGGGTTGGTGTTCCCAAGGGACAGCTTGCTGGCCAGGTATGATGGCTGTAGAAGCAAATGGTCCAGCTCTCTCTCCCTACAATCAGGTTGATAACAATATTTATTATGTGTCCATGGTACCCTGGGAGGTAGGTACTATTATAATCATTTTAATTCTACAGATGTGGAAACGGAGGCACAGAAAGGTTAAGTGACTTGCTCAATATCACACAGCCAGGAAGGAGGACAAATGGCATTTGAATCTGGACTCTTACCCACTTCAGTATGCTGCTTCCCAACCCTTTTGTTGTAGCCTATTTTCAGTCAAGTTGTATTGCCCTTCGATAGGATTTCTCAGATAGGCTGTGAGAAGTTACCTGCACCTTAGTATGAATCAGTCAACCTCTTCCTGCCACTGAAGAATAGCAATCATTGCTATAGTTTACAGGAGTGCTGTAGTGTAGGCATAGAGTTATAACGCCTGAAATTGAAGCCCAGTGCCACTTCCCAGCTGTGACTTTGGGCAAGTGACATCACTAATCTGAGCCTCCGTTTCTGTGAAGTCCCCATTTTCCTGATGAGGAAACCAAGAGGCACACCCAGGACTTTAGAACCTGGGTCTGAGTATATGCCGCCTCCACAAAGATGAGGAACCAAAAACAGGTTCTGTGAGAGGGAAGTTCAGAGCTTCGTAGGCCTCAGTGGGTGTCCTGGGAGAGAGGCCCAGGCGCCCAGATGCTAGGAGGTGGGTATCTCGTCTCCACACATTCATTCTGCACACACTTTGTGTGGAGGAAGGGGGCACTGTAAGCCTGAGGCCTATCTGTGCAGGGACAGCAAGGCCACCCAAAGGACTGGACAAGCCAGGCCCTCCCAGCATGCTCTTCTTCAGGGGCACCTTCTCTTCCTGCCAGATGGAAGCTCAGACTCCCTGGGATGGGTGCCTGATCCTGGCCAGGCTGCTGGGTGGCCCAGAGTGGGAACTGCGGCTGGGGCCCCAACTTCAGTCAGCAAAGGCAAGATGGGAGATGTGCTTTGTCCTTGGGGGAAAACACCCTAGCTCTGGTCCTGCGGGTCCTTGGTGCAACCCCAGCTGCACTCCATCTCCTGACTGTACCCAGCTGGGATCACTAGTACAACTAGACCTGCTGTTAAAATACTGAAATAGCCCTAGCCGGTTTGGCTCAGTGGATAGAGCATCGGCCCATATACGGAAGGGTCCTAGGTCAAGCGCATATACATGGGTTGCAGGCTTGATCTCCAGCCCTAGTCAGGGCATATGCTGGAGGCAACCAATCAATGGGTCTCTCCCCCTCCCTTCCACTCTTTCTTAAATATCAATGGAAAAATATCCTCCCATGAGGATTAACAAAAAATAATTTTAAAAGTACTGAAATACCTTCCAGTTTTTGATCAATAGCTACTACCCACTTCTGATGCCCAGGCCCCTGGCCTAGGACCCTTCAGACCTTCCCATGCCCCAGCCCAGGGGCTCTCCTGATGGACCCCTGGGAGACTTGCCTATCCTGACTGGTGGAGGGGCCTGACAATATTTATCTTCCCTGGCTCAGCATCAGTGTCAATTCCCCCCCACACACACAAGTTCAGAGTCCTCAGATATGGATATCCATTTCACATAAATGCCTATGCATCCTCCAAAGCCCCACCTGATGTGACCTTCTTCAGGAAGGCCTCCACAATTTTTACCACCCAAAGAGTGACAGGCTTCCAAGGATCTTGGACCATACACCACTTTGTTCTAATCTTCTGCAGCAGTGTGTGAGCACACTGACGCCAGGGACCATATTCTACTCCTCTTTGTGGTCTCAATTCCAATGGCCATGCCAAGTACACAACAAGTGCTCAATAAAATTCATGGCATGGCTGACTGTTCATGATGTGCTGTGGTGATAGCAGGGATATCCTGTGCATCTCCTGTACAGGCCATCATTCCCACAGGAGCTGGGTGCCATCTGTACACTACAGCCCTGCCAGCTGGGACAGGCCAAGGCTGGGGGGAGGGGAAAACAGGATGTGAGACCCAGGGGTGGAAGGTCAGCAGAGCCTGTTCTCACGCTCTCTGGCTACCGAGGAGTGATTCTCCATCTGTGTAGGCCAGCTGTGAGTGCTGGACACAAGCAGACCAGCAGGAGAGAGGAAGATTTTAGGAGTGCAGCTGGGGAAGCCTGGTGTGATCAGGGAGAGGAAAAACAGGCACTCAGTGTTACTGTTATAGAACCATTAAATACTACTTATAAACAAGTCAGGAGAGCACTAGGAAGGGGGGGGCACAATGCGGGGGGGACGGAGGGGCCACTGAGGCCAGAGAGTGTCAGGGCGGCAAGGTCCGGGCCGGGTCTTGGAGGGAGCTCAGGCTTCTGTCACCAGAGGGGCTGGGCTGGCGGAGGCCTGGCTGCTTGTGGAGGCCTCGCAACTTCACCAGTAGCTCCTGGACGAAGTCCTGAGGACAGGGTGGAGGGTGCTGAGAACAGGGGGAGGGGAGGGAGAGGGCCCTGCCCAGCCCAGCCCAGCCCAGCCCAGCCCAGACCCTCTGACCTGAGCCCTTCCTTCTACTTCCAGGTCAGTGAAGGGGGGTAGAGGTGAAGTTAGGGAAGAGGAGAGGCCATGAAGAGGAAGAAGATTGGGGTGGTGGTGGGTGGAGACAGAGATGGGAGAGGGCGAAAGGGAGAAAAAGATACAAGGAATAAGAGAGAGAGGGACAAACAAAGAAAGACAGGGAGATACAGAGACAGAGAGAGATAGAGAGACTGGGAGAGAGATAGAGACAAACACCAGGACACAGAAACAGACAGAGATACAGAGAGATGCAGAGAGAGTCAGAGAGAAAGACAAAGGGACAGAGAAAGAAACAGAGCCACAGAGACATTCAAGATGTTTCCCAGGCCAAGAGATCACCAGGAGCGTCCCCAGGGACAGATCCTGAGCCTGCGGGGGCAGACAGACACAACCTCCCGGCAGCCCGGAGCTAGTCAGAGAAACATGAATATTTTTCCCTTTTAAAGCAGAGAAGGAAGTGGGAGGGGTTGGGCTGCTCAACTTCAGTGCCTGGAAAGATGGGGGGTGGGGGGAGAGCTGTGGAAGGGAGCCCCAGGGTATAACAGAGAGAGGGAGGGAGGGAGGCAGCACAGGCAGACACAGCATAGCAGAGGTAGAAACAGAAGACAGATGGGGGAACGTCTCAGAGGGGAGGAGATAATGGAGGCCCAGTGGCAGATGGGTAGAGAGGAGAAGATAAAAGACACCACTAGAGAGAGAAAAGGGTTCCCCAGAGTTCCCACTGCTGGTCCTGGATGGCAGCTTTTCCCTGCTCCCCAGACACCCCCCTTCCCCATGAGGATGCAGGGGCCAGAACAGGGCCTGTCAGGGGGAACGAAAAACTTACCTCTGTGGGGTTCGTGCACGATTTCAGGAGCCCCTAAACCCCCACCCACGCAAAGAAAAAAAAAAGTAAATAGTAAATGACTAACAACACCCCTGCCCCTCCAGGTCCTTCCCTTACTAACAAAGCCCCAAGTAACAAGACAATGAAGTCAGACTCCAAGGTGGACTTCCCACCTGTCTTTAAGGGAGGAACACAGTCTGAGGGCAGGTTGAGTCAAGAATCTCTACATCGAGGCAAGAAGGTCACACAGCATTTCCTGCCTCTAGGAGAAAACGGGCCATAAGAGCCAAACTGCCCTCTTACTATGACTCCCAGCTCCATTCCTCCTGAGCTGTGGGACCTTGGGCAAGTGATTACATTTCCTGGGGTTCACGTTCACCATCTGGAAAATGGAGGATAGTGCCTACTTCATAGGGTTTTGTGATGATTAAATAAGATACTAAGTGGAAAGCGGTTGAAATAATTCCCAGTGCATAGTAAGGACTCAATAAACATGGTAACCATTGCTATGAATCTTAGGAAGGAGCGTGGTGGAGGACTTGGGGGCAGCTTTCCTCTCCACCTACCTGGATTTTCTGGCGTCTGTCCTCTTCAGTCTCTAATTCCAACAACTCGTCAATGTTGACTTCATCGGGCATGTCTGCCTCCTAAGGCAGGGAGAAGAGAAAGCTGGTCAGGCGCCCTTTTCCCTCCCTCCCCTGCCTTTGTCCAGGGGCTCTGTAGGAGCCCAGGCCCCAGGGCCCAGCTGGCGGGTTCTGGAGCAATAGTGTGGCAGTCAGGGACAGCACCGCCAAGGCGGGACATCTGGGTGTTGGGGGTGGGAGTGACAGATGAGTTGACAGAGGCCCAGGGCCTGTCCCAGCTCAAATGCCTGGGCCCTGGGCTCCAGGGACCTCGGGGCTGTCATGGGTCTCTCTGCTTGGCCCCAGCTCCCACAGCGGGGAAGCAGGCCTGGTGGAGTTTTGGAATGTCAGATTCTGGGACTCAGGAGAGGGGCTGGCTCTGCCCTTTCAAGGAAAAGTCTGCGAGTTCGGTGTGGGGGAGGAGAGCTAGGGGAGCTGCCAGCCAGAGCCTGCTGGGGTTGGCCCCTTGCCCCAGGGGACAGGAAGGAACACAGGGGCCCAGTGCAACCCCCTATGCCCAAGGAGATGGCCACCAAGCCCTTCCCCCCCAAAGTAGGTGGGATGAGCCATGAGCCTAACTTTAAGTGACTAAGAGGGGGACTCTTAATGGCCTCTTGGGCCAGAGGGCCAAACTCAGGCTGGCTCAGTATCCCTGCAGGGGACAGAATCCAGCTGTCTGAGCAAGAGATCTGAGTCTACAGATTTTTTCTTTCCTCACCCAAAGTTCTGCTGACTTCAGTGCAACCTTCATGACTGGGTGTTCAGCAAAGGCATGGGGTGTCTATAAGTGTGTTATAGGCCTGTGGGTGCCTCTGTACCAGGGGCCGGGGCCAGCATGACGGTGCAGAGGTATGTGGCATCATATGTGTGGCCTGCACAGGGGCCTGTGGTCTTGTGGGTGTAAAGTATGCAGCTCTGGCTTACTGTCTTTGTCTCATCGTCATGTATTACAGGCAGCCATAGTGCCCACTGCCTGAGGGTGACCTCATAGGATACCACCTACCACTAGCAACTGGACTTGACTGTCATCTGTACAAGACCATGATCGTCTGAGAACAGAGGTACCTCATGTCACTGTGAGGGGCCATGGCTTCTACCATCTTCCCACTGTGTGGAGGATTTCTGCCTCCTGTGTGTCTCTGTACTCCTGTGACCATCAGGAACCCAGGACTGTGTCTCCAGCATGTGTGTTATACAAAGTATGACTTCCATCAGAGGCTCCAGTGAATACAAGACTACAGTTCATGCTCGGTGTGCCCAGGGGCAGCAATAGTTTCTGCCATTGTATGTCCACATGTACCTACATCTTCTGCAGCTTACTCTGTTCTCTATTTGGGTGTAACTGTTATTTCTGTCATTTTTTGTTTTTGTATTTCAATCCTCACCTGAGGACATGCTTAGAGAGAGTGAGAGCGAGAGCAAGAGAGACAGACACTGATGTGAGAGAAAAACCTCAATCAGCTGCCTTCCATAGAGCCCTCACCAGGGATTGAACTCTCAACCCAGGTACGTGCCCTGACCAACAATCAAACTGGCAACCTCTCAGTGCACTGGATGATGCTACAACCAACTGAGCCACTCCGGCCAGGCTAGTTTCTGTCGTTTTATGCCTTGAGTGCCTGCAGCATATGTCCTGTAGTTATTGTTTTTGCCTTTAGGGAATAACAGTATGATTTAGTTGTAGTGGATGTAGCTTGCTATGAGTCACTACAGCTTGTGCTGGTATGTATCTATGAAGAGCTGTAACTGGAGTCCTTTTACGTGAGTGTAGTTGTGTTGTGTGTCTGCATATGCTGTGGCCTGTGCCACTGTGCCCGTGGATGCCCATGACTGTAGCATATATTGATCTGCAAATGATCACAGCTTGTGTCCTTGAGGGTCTGTGTATGGCTGTTGCTTTGCTCACTGTGCCTGTGAGTGGCTATAGCTTTCACTGTGAACGTCTGTGAATATTGTTGCTTCCTTTGCTATGTATCTCCGCGTGGTTGTAACTCCCCTGTCACCATGTCTATGTTTGGCTTTAAGACATCCCCTCCCCCCACCCTTTCTCCAGATATGGCTGCTCTGACTCCCCAACTTTGCCTCTTCACCCCCCAGATGGTAAACCCCTGGCCCTCCCCAGATGTTTGGGCACATCTCAGGTGATTCAAGTGTGTGTCTCTGTGTCCACAAGCAGAGTGCCATCGACGGTGGATGGCCGGGCCAATAAGTGCAATGAGTGCCTGACCCCTTGGCGTGCGTGTACAGCAGCCGGGGCAAGCAACCGAAGACCCCAAGGACCTATACCCGGTACCTCACCAACGTCTCCACGCCCCTCCTCGCCTCACCCGGCCGCGGTATAGCTCCTCCAAGCGCCCGTCTATCCACTTCTCCACG